TTACCCCAAAATGAAAAACTGCCTTCTGTTTCTCCCACTCTTTTTATATTTTTGGAGCCCACAATGCTTGTGATTGAATTGACGGATATTGTAAAAGAACTGTCAGTTTAAGGGAACCTTCTGAACTGACCAAAGTTCAAGCTTGCCCACCTTGATGAGGACTGGATGCATTGTTGGAGACTGAGACATCTGATATCCCTGATTTGCCTGGAAGACCTTCTGGGAGTTGCCATAAGGCAGAGCATGCATTTTGTTGAGAGGTAAAAAGAAAAACACTCTGATTTATTGCTTTCCCTCATGGCCATTACGAAACATCTGGAGTCATTACTATTTTCTGGTAGAGGAAACTAGAAAACAGCAGACTGACCTAAAATGTATAGAATGACCATGCATTACTGACATCCACACCCATCATTCTCAAAAACAAAGCAAAAACCCCATACATAACTTTGCACGGAAGGACTCCTTATCCAAACCCCATGTTATGAATGGAAATGATGGAAAGTGATGGAAAGTTAAGGAACCATAAGAACACTTGGAAAAATCTTGTGCCAACACAAGAGAATGAGGATCCTGAATTAATAGGGTGACTATACATCCTGTTTTGGCCGGGACAGTCCCTTTATTAAGCCCTGTCCCGGCCGGCCTGACTTTTTGGCAAAAGTGGGCATTTGTCCCATTTGCTCTTGCCAACTGATCAACTAGCATCAACTATGTTCTGACTCAGCAGAGCCCACGACAGACTGGTCCCACTCAGTAGGAATAACTTGTTGAGGAGGACAGCATTTCACAACTGAAATTCTGCACTACAGTTACGCTGTAAGCCAGGCACAAAGCTAAACCATAATAATAATACTTATTTGTACTCTGGTTGAACCTAGGAGCCTACTCGTGGAGCAGAGCCCCAAGATACTGAGCACTACACAAACACATAAGGAAAAAGACATTTCCTATCATGAAAAGTTTATAATGTAAGTAAATAAGCAATGAGTTTTTTACCTCAATCTCGTATACAATCTACCCTTAGCTGAGAGCATCCATTGCTATTTACAGATGTGTTAAAACAGGGGTTCTCAAACTTTTTTTGCTGGGACCCCCTTTAAAAATATTTCAGGCTGTAATGACCTCTCTAAAAAAGAGTGACAACCCCTCCATACCATGCCATGCTGACTTCTGTGCTGCTGCTGGCAGTGGCTCTGCCTTCAGAGCTGGGTGCCTGGCCAGCCGCCGCTCTTGTTACCTCCCCACAATAGTCTTGCAACCTTTTTTTGGGTTGGAAACCCCATTTGAGAAATGCTAAAGTATTACACTTTTACCTTAAACAATTACACAGGTTCGGTCAGGATGTGAAAGTGTTGTTGGCAAGTGGAAGGATGCTGGGATTTTTACTACGGGGCTGGCACCGAATCATGATGTAGGGCTTTAATGACAGCTTTGGTCAGTGGGCTTTTCCAAGTCCTGGGTTCATCAGCACCAAAGAGACTGATCGAAGAGTTAGTGAATGCAGAGGTCTTTACGTTACCAAAATATGTTGTTCAAAGTCTCCACACTGAGCAAGGCAAGCAATGCTTTAACCTTTCCCCCAGTTTTCTTCTCTGGACAGCAAAGTGGTAACAAATAAGGCCAGCACAATTCACCTTTGCCTTAAATGAATCTACTTCCAAAGGTTAACTAATGGTTAATGATACAACTGTGAATGTGATAAATTGAAGCTCTGGAGCTAATATGGCACACTGGGTTTTGTTGTGTTTTTTTGTGATGGAGAGGAAATACAATTGTAATGTAAAAATACACCCAAATCTATGGAGAGCCAAAATGTGACTGTTTCCCATGGTTTTCAGAGTTGTCTGACTAGCTGGGATGGGGTGTCAGAGCGCTTGAGGCTGGTGAACCAGAGCACACTCTTTAAAAAGTTTCCAGTATATTTTCAACATGCTCCAAGACTACGGACTTAGAGCACTGCCTTTTTGGGCTAGCCAGGCAAAGCCCTCTTGTTTATCGTCGTCAACTGTTTTCTAACCAAAGGTTTATTCCCCCTGAACCTTTAAACAAACAAGGGTGTAATGAAAACAAGGCATTTAGATTAGATAGTTCCTCGGCAAAGCCAGTCAGCTATATACTGATTTCAGATAGATTGAAGTTTTAAACTTTGCTGGAGATTTCTGCATTCCAGGACACCAGAGGCTAATTACAGTAGTGAAATGATGGCCCAAGCTCCTGGGGTGCCAATGCACACAGTATTTAATAGACCCAATGCCGGTTAATCAGACAGAACAACACAGGCTTTGAGCCAGAGATATGAGATGAGAGCGCAGAGAGGGGAGAGAGATGCAGCAAATAAAAATCCATTATTATATATCAGTGAAAAGAAAACTGTGTATCTCTTTTTACTGCTGGCAAGGGAATGGAGAGAGAATGTTAGAAGAACATACATACATACGATTTTATATATATAAAACCATGCAAACACACACACTTATTACAGGTTTCTATTTAAAAACAGTAACATTTTACAGATTGCACTTGATCTTGAAAGATCCCGAAGTGCTTTGCAGACTAAACTGAAAGAATGGGCCCTGCTCGGTTCTTGGCCTCTGTATTTGGTGCCTTATTCTGGTATTACTCAGCTCACCACTGAAATGCAGCTAGTATTGGGCAGTAATTTTAAATAAACAACAAACAGAAAGAGGGAGTAACCAGATTCATGTGTAGTAAAGGCTTACTTCAAAACAAATATTTCTTTCATGATCTTTTAATCTTGGCTTCCCACCACCCCTTTTCTGTCTGTTGTTTGTCTGTTCTCGGTTTCGCAGCCACTGCCATAATACATAAACATATTACCAGCCTTGGCAGGATTAAATTTTTATTGGTAAATATTGATATATGTTGATTTCGCCACATACACACACAAACTGAGGAAAACATATTTCCGTTGATAATAATCAAAACTTACAGCTAGGCAAAGTAAGAAAAATGCTGTTTGAGAACTCGGAGTCTGACTTAAGGCGATTTACTTTATTATTTTGACATGTGATGTTGACCATGTAAGCAAGATTTTTAAGTTTTTGAATCTCAACAACCCTCAGTAGCGTCTGACCCGCGTAATTTCCTGCAACAGTGAAAATGTGAATTGATTAAAAAAAACCCCTAAAAACAAGCTTAAAAATAAACACGACCCCTTAGCCACTGAAATTGCAAACGAAATAAAAGATGAATCCAATGAAACCTGGGCACAAGGGGGCTGGCAGCGATTTGCGCCACCGCTCAAAAGCTGCAGCGAAGAGGCCCTGAAAACGGAGCCTGCACCCCGCCGGTTTCAGACACTCGACCCTTTATTTCGTGGAAACGGGGGGGGGGAGGGGGAATCACCCGGTAACGCGGCGCAAAAGGGAGGCTGGGACTTTAACGGGCTGCTGACGGGGGGACAGCGGCGAGGGGCGAGCGCCTTACCTCTGAGCAGGGCCATGGCTGGGCTGGGCGCCGCAAGCGTGGGACCGGACTGCCCAAGGGCGCGCCCCTTGAGCCCCCTTCCCCGCCCCCGTTCCCCGCCCCCGCGCACGTGACTGCCCATCGGGAAAAGCACATTCGGCGCGTGAGTCACCCGGCGCTGTGCCGGGGGTCAAGGTGGGGACCGTCGTTGTTCAAGTGACGGCCTCGCGCCACAGGCGGGTTCCTGTAGGGAACAGGCTCAGGGAGGGCAGCAACCCGCCCCCCCCCCGGCATACCTTTCCTATGGCATTGACGCTGGGGGCCGGTGGAATCGGCGCCTGCGGATGCAAAGCTGAGCGGGCTGGAGGGGAAAGCCGGGGGAGCCTGGGGCAACGCCGTCCCCGGTGGGCCGGGCCGGGCCTGGCGGTGACTCGAGGGTGGCCCTGAGAGCGTGCGGGGCGGGGAGCGGCCTGGTCCCGGGCAGACAGCGGGAGCGGGCCGCCAGAGCCAGGCCGGGCTGGGGCCCTGGGCCGAAGCAGAGCGAAGGGGGAGCGACGCGCCCCTTGGGCAGCGGTGGAAGGAAGCGAGTCTTCCTGTCCCTCACGGCTGCTGCCGCGTGTGACCCCCCAGCCCAGGGCCCCTGAGCTCACTGCCTGGAGCCCCACGTCCTGGACCCCCCAAGCCCAGGGCCCCTGAGCTCAGTGCCTGGAGCCCCACGTCCTGGACCCCCCAGCCCAGGGCCCCTGAACTCAGTGCCTGGAGCCCCACGTCCTGGACCCCCAAGCCCAGGGCCCCTGAACTCAGTGCCTGGAGCCCCACGTCCTGGCCCCCAGCCCAGGGCCCCTGAGCTCACTGCCTGGAGCCCCACGTCCTGGACCCCCAAGCCCAGGGCCCCTGAACTCAGTGCCTGGAGCCCCACGTCCTGGACCCCCCAAGCCCAGGGCCCCTGAGCTCACTGCCTGGAGCCCCACGTCCTGGACCCCCCAGCCCAGGGCCCCTGAACTCAGTGCCTGGAGCCCCCGTCCTGGACCCCCAAGCCCAGGGCCCCTGAACTCAGTGCCTGGAGCCCCACGTCCTGGACCCCCCAGCCCAGGGCCCCTGAACTCAGTGCCTGGAGCCCCACGTCCTGGACCCCCCAAGCCCAGGGCCCCTGAACTCAGTGCCTGGAGCCCCACGTCCTGGACCCCCCAAGCCCAGGGCCCCTGAGCTCACTGCCTGGAGCCCCACGTCCTGGACCCCCCAGCCCAGGGCCCCTGAACTCAGTGCCTGGAGCCCCCAGCCCAGGGCCCCTGAGCTCACTGCCTGGAGCCCCACGTCCTGGACCCCCAAGCCCAGGGCCCCTGAACTCAGTGCCTGGAGCTCCACGTCCTGGACCCCCAAGCCCAGGGCCCCTGAGCTCACTGCCTGGAGCCCCACGTCCTGGACCCCCCAAGCCCAGGGCCCCTGAGCTCACTGCCTGGAGCCCCCAGCCCAGGGCCCCTGAACTCAGTGCCTGGAGCCCCACGTCCTGGACCCCCAAGCCCAGGGCCCCTGAGCTCACTGCCTGGAGCCCCACGTCCTGGACTCCAAGCCCAGGGCCCCTGAACTCAGTGCCTGGAGCCCCACGTCCTGGACCCCCAAGCCCAGGGCCCCTGAGCTCACTGCCTGGAGCCCCACGTCCTGGACCCCCAAGCCCAGGGCCCCTGAGCTCACTGCCTGGAGCCCCCAGCCCAGGGCCCCTGAACTCAGTGCCTGGAGCCCCACGTCCTGGACCCCCCAAGCCCAGGGCCCCTGAGCTCACTGCCTGGAGCCCCACGTCCTGGACCCCCAAGCCCAGGGCCCCTGAACTCAGTGCCTGGAGCCCCACGTCCTGGACCCCCCAAGCCCAGGGCCCCTGAACTCAGTGCCTGGAGCCCCACGTCCTGGACCCCCCAGCCCAGGGCCCCTGAACTCAGTGCCTGGAGCCCCGGGTGCCCCTGTGCTCACTGCCGCCTGCCCAGTGTCTTCTCTTCCTGCCCCTCTTCGCTGCTGCCCCTTACCACCCTCCCGCTTTTCCCCCTTTCCTTTGGGTGCAACACACACATTCCAGTCCCCGGCCTGTGCAGCCCTCAAACCCAACCCAGTTGTAGTGTTACGCCCCCCACATACATGCACACATACACACATCCCTTGCACATTCGGGATGTCCCTGTAATGGCAGCCCCCCATTCCCTAGGGAGGAGACCAGCTGTAGGCATCCTGGGAGCGCTGGGGACACGGAACTCCTCAGGCCCGCTGATCTCCTGGGATCTGTGTGTTTGTGAATTGATCCCACTGCCTTTTCCATCGGGGGTACCCCGACCCCAACAGAACAATTTGGGAGAAACTACATGAAAACTTGTGATTTCGTCCTCTGTTGCTCCTATTATTCAGCACTGCACCCCATTGGGAGGAGGCTTTTGTTCTTCAAAGCTAGAAATAGACAGGTAAATGTTTTAAAATACACATGTATGACATCATATGGTGGTTGTTTTAAAATAAAGTTTTTATTGTGTAGAAACTTCTGTTAGAAGATTTCTGTAGTGAGAGAAAATTAGGCTTGTCAGAATTAGATTCTTTTTTCATAACTTTGATGGATAATATCAGTGTTTATTTACTGTTAAGCATTCTTTATTTTTATTGCTTTAATTTTCTCAGTAGATCAAAATTACAGGTTTTAAGAATTTCTCCTACCCCCTAATTTACACAATTTAAATTTTCACAGTTGCAGAAAGTTTGGGGGGTGGGGGAAGGCAGACAATAATTATTTAATTACAGTAGACTATATTTTAAAAAGTTAAAGCTTTATATCTGTTAAAACACAAATTGTTGACATCACATATCAAAATATACAAAGTAAATATCCTTAAATCCAACTGAGTTCTCAAGCAGCATGTTTTACTTTGTCTATCTGTAAATTTAGATAACCATAGATGGAAATATTTTAAGTGGTTTGTGCTTGTACAGTGAAATTGACATTCACCAACATTTACCGATAAAAATCTACTCCTAGTTCTAATGTGACTCGGAGAATGACAGGTGGGAACATCTTGCACGAAGATGGCAGGAAAGAAAAAGTGTGGAGCTCACTAAACCCTGGTCTGTGATGATTAGCCCACTGCGCAATCTGAGTTCTGCAGAACTACTTGATGAGATTTGTGCTGAGAAAGGCAGCTGAGACCAGAACAACAACATATGTCGTGATTCTGAAGCTGGAGCTGCATGGGTGGCCCCTGCACAGAACCTCATTTGTGTCTTTTGCAGGATCAGGATTTATAGAGCTAATTTCTGATACACATTACAATAATATATTAGGATACCTCTGTAATGAATCTGTGCTTAGAGGATAAAGTAAGGGATCGGGAATCAGCAGTTCTTGGATTCTGTTTCTGGCTCTGCTATTGACTTCATCTTTGACCTTGATCAGATCACAAGATCTGTGTCTCAGTTTTCCTATCTGTAAAACGGGACTTATGATGCTTACAGTAGAAGCTCAGAGTTACGAACACCAGAGTTATGAACTGACCAGTCAATCACACACCTCATTTGGAACTGAAAGTACACAATCAGGCAGCAACAGAAACACTTACCAGGTACAGAAAGCCTATGGCCAGGGCTTTCTCCAGACTGTATATATTAACAGATTGAAAGCTTACAATAACAAAGGGGCTATAGTAAACATGATATGCTATGCAGATGAGGACCACAAAGTATCACCTCTCCTGGACTTAGGGCTTGTCCACACTTGAAACGCTACACCCCTGTAGTGCTTCACTGTAGACACTACCTACATCAGCAGTATGGTTTCTCCTGTCAGCTCCTATCAGTGTAGGTAATCCACCTCCCTGAAAGGCAGCGTATAGGTCGACAGAAGAATTCTTCCTTCCACCGAGCACTGTCTACTCCAGGAGTTAGGTTGGCGTAGCTACCTCTCTTGGGTGTGGATTTTAGTGTAGGTCTGCCCTCAGACAGCCCCTGGGCTTCTCCAATTGTTCTAGTCTCAAAGAACAACCATACAGTACAGTTTTATGTAGATTATAGAAAATTTAGGCCTGGTCCATGCAGCAATGTGAAAAATCCATACCCCTAAGCGACACAGTTAAACCAATCTAACTCTGGTGAAGACAGCACCACCGAGAATTTTCCCACCAACCTAGCTACCGACTCTCGGGGAGGTGCACTAGACTAGCGTAGGAAGGAGTGTCTTCACTGAACACTACAGCAGGGCAGCTGCACTACTGCAGCATTTGAAGCGTACACAAACCCTGGATGTGGTTACACTCCCAGATGCTTGCCCTGTGTCTCATGTAGATGATATGTTAGATAGACGTAGCATAACTAAACATTCAACTACTTTAGATTTAACCAAGGGACAACTGGCAAATTCCCTTGGAAACAGTGTCACAAAAAAAGTCTGCATTCATTACTAATTTTGGACTTTTTGAGTTTAAGGTACTGTCCTCTGAATGAATTAAAGCAGGAGTCACATTCCAGGACACTGCTCTCAGCTACATAGACAATATTGGTATATTGAGCAGTACGTGGGAGGAACACAAAACACATATGGGGAAGATATTGAAAAGCCTCAGGGAGGGAGGCAGGCCGCATAGTCAAGCTGTCAAAATATACGATAGAGGCAGCAAAGATCCGATACCTGCATCATCATTAGATGGGCAGAGGCCAAATCTACCCATATCCCCTGAAAGCAGAAAGCTATTGTAAATTGGCTTGTCCCCAAAGCTAAGAAACAAATTAAATCTTTTATAAGTCTGGTTAACTATTATTGAAAAGCTGTAGGAGGTTTCAGTGACATTGTTGCTCCTATCATGAGTCTTTGCCGGAAAACAAAACCAGAAAACGTGGTTTGGTCAGACTCCTGTCAAAAGGGTTTTGATACACTGAAACAAATTTTATCAGACACCCCCATCTTGGCCAATCCAGATTTTAAGAAAATGTTTGAAGTGTGCATTGATGCATTCAACAAAGGTCTCACAGCTATACTAATTCAGACTGGGGAGGACAACAAGAAACACCCCATTGTATTGCTGAGCAAAAAACTGTCTCCCATGGAACCATCATAATAGATAAGAAAAGGAGTACTTGTGGCACCTTAGAGACTAACCAATTTATTTGAGCATAACCTTTCTTATGCTCAAATAAATTGGTTAGTCTCTAAGGTGCCACAAGTACTCCTTTTCTTTTTGCGAATACAGACTAACAAGGCTGTTACTCTGAAACCTGTCATAATAGATAAGGAGTGTTATGGGCTGTGAAATAACTCAGTTCTGGTCAAATTAGGTTGGCATAACTGTCACTCACAGGTGTGAAAAATCCACAGCCCTGAGTGGCATAGTTAAGCCGATTTAAGTCCCCACCTAGACATGATTAGCTTGACTGAAGAATTCTTCCATTGACCTAGCCACAGCCGCTCAGGGAGGTGGATTACCTATGCCAACAGCGTAGGTGGTGTCAGCACTGAAGTGCTGGAGCATTTCAGGTGTAGATGAGCCCTCAGAACCTACCTGTTCAAATAGGCAGTTAAGGGTATTAACAGACCATGCGCCACTGGAATAGCTCCGTAGAACAAAAGGAACCAACTCCAGATTGCTATGCTGGAGCATAGCTTTGCAGTGTGATATGGAGATTAAACATATTGATGGGCTGGAGATAGCTGACACTGTCTAGAAAAGGGAGGACACAGGTGAAGGTTACGTCATGGCCAGTGGCCAAAACTCCAGCATCAAAGTCATGAGGGGGTGTGTGATAATCAGGGTCAAGATATACCTAGAGGAGAACAGAGGGTCTGAACCCCAAAGAATAAGCAATTGAATTGACAGGTTACATACAATGGAAATATGTGAAGTAAGGTCTTTTATGAAAGCTTGTAATGTTCTAAACTTGATAAACATTAGGAGATATGTACATACAGGCTGGCTATGAATGTATGCATGTATATATGTGTGGAACATTGTAAATGAAACTAGGGTGCAATTACAGCATCACTTCACAACAGGAGGGTGAAGTAATCAGGCAGAGAGGGTCACCTTTCAGGATAGTTGTTTACACGAAACTAACTGTAAGCACCTAGCATTGTATAACTTAGGGAAAAGCAATGGTGGACCATTAGTTAATGGAAAGAGAGGGAAACTGAAAAGAAAACCCCTGTTTTGGGAAACTAAGGACTGGTCTACACTAGGAATTTATCTCGGTATAACTAACTCTCTCAGGGGTGTGAAAAATCTACACCCCTGAGAGATTTAGCTATGTTGACCTATCTCCCTATGTAGACAACACTAGGTCAATGGAAGAATTCTTCCTTCAAGCTAGCTGCCACCTCACGGGGAGGTGGATTAACTATTCTGACAGGAGAACCCCTCCCATCAGCATATGTAGAGTCTACACTGTAGCATTTTAAGTGGAGACATACCCTAAAAAAGGAGGGAGTTGCCACTGCTCTGCATAACCATGAATTACCATAGTCTAAGACCCTGTCCACGCTACAGGTAACTTCAGATATAAATAATCCACACCCCTGAGCAATGTAAATTATACTGACCCAAGTGCTGGTATACACAGTGCTATGTCAGGGGGAGAGCTTCTCCCCCTGACATAGCTACCACCTCTCGCAGAGGCAGGAGTTCTTAAACTGATGGTCGGCTTAGAGCATCTCCTCCACAAGTCTACAGTGATGCAGCTGTAAGTGCTTCACTGTACCTGTAGCTTGAGAGAGGGGGAAAAAATACCCTGCAAACCCTGTAGGCTGTTTAAGGGAAGAGGTTTGAAGTGAATGTTATCTGGAAGAGCTATGAGGAACAACATCTAAGCAGGGTGCTGTATGTGGAAGGCTGGATCCCCTCTAGGAAAACTGTTCAGAGGCAACAGATAACTTGTTTTAGAAAAGGGAACTTAGCTAATATTGAAGTGTAAAGTCTGAGATTGCATCTTTATTTATCTTCTGTGTAATCTATTTGTGTTTGCTTTTCTTTACTATTTTATCTTTGAATTTATCATTTTTTCTATTAAATAAACTTTTTGTTTACTTTTACCCCAGCTAGGTGTCTGTTGTGCAAACTGTGTGTGTGTCAAAGTCAACTGATGATTGTGGGCAGGTTTCACTCATTTTCCGGGGTGAAAAACCAGAGGGGGAAAGTCTGACTGGTAGTTAAAAATTCAGGGAGGTGGATTTAAGGGGACTTGGGACCAGAAGGGCTAGTGGGGTCACGCTGTAAGGAGTAACTAGGTGCGTGGAAGCCAAGGTTGAAAGCTTTATTATTGTAGACTGGCTACTGGTGTCAAGCTTTGAGCCATAGCAGCATAGCATTTTGGTACCCAAAGTTATAAGGCAGGCAGTGACAGAATCCCTTACTGCTCTGGGGGATCCCCAAAATGTCACAGTATACTGATGCTATAACTAATCTCAAAAGGGATGCAGTTTAAATTGTTTATA